CGTGATCAGATACATGCTCCAAATGTCGCCATATTTCTCTCTCCTTTTGAAGATGATATCCCATGGATACCCGGTCCTATATAAGGATAGGAGGTAGCCAAATATCGGTATGCCACATGGCCCGGTGGCAAGTTTCGTGGTCTCACACCAGATAGCGAATTACAATAATCACTAAAAGACTTGCTAGCAAAGCAAGAGTGTTCGTGTTAAGTAACCCGCCTAGCAAAGCGAGTAGATCCATATCGCTATCATATAGCGAGCCAAAGAGAAGGTTTCCTAATATATATCGCCGGACCGTGTACTCTGGTGTTACTGTGGTCAGTCCGCGCGCAGTTCACTGGACCAAATTATTTATCCAAATAGATATTGGCCTATATATCTTTTGTCGCCCTCTCTATCTCTCTATGTGGGCGTGTGAGTGTGTGTGTGTGTGTGTGTGTGTGTGTGTGTTGTTGTGTGTGTGTGTGTGTGTGTGTGTGTGTGTGTGTGTGTGTGTGTGTGTGTGTGTGTGTGTTTGTTTGTGTGTGCCTGTGTGTGCGTGTGTACGTGTATGGGCGCGCGCGCGCGCGCGCGTGTGTGTGTGTGTGTGTGTGTGTGTGTTGTGTGTGTGTGTGTGTGCGTGTGTTTGTTGTGTGTGCGTGTGTGTGCGTGTGTACGTGTATGGGCACGTGTGTGGGTGTATGGGCACGTGTGTGGGTGTGTGTGTGTGTGTGTTAGTTTCGGTGTGCGAGGGTATACCGCACTAAAGATCCTTCATCTGAGGAGGCGAAATGTTCAAGCGCTGTCTTGCAGGGATTTTGCGGGATACTGCTTCGGTATATGGATATAGCTCTCGGATTACAGAGAAAGTCACACAGTTCCATTGAGGCCAGCCTGAAAAAGAAGCACAATATACTTCATACAGGTCGAATGTTTTCATCACGACACCTAATCGTGGTCAGTGATTATATATTTTAATTACAATGTGTTAATTAATGTATCAAAAAATAATAATTACTAGCAATAGTACGAACGAAATTGCAATGGAAATTGCAATCTTTGTTTGCATGCCGTGATACTTAGCCTGCAGTCTTTAACCAGGCTGCAAGTATAATGACCCTAAAATTTTCAGCCTGCAGCCTTTACCCAGGCTGCAAATATTATGACATTGACATATGCTGTCATTATCAAGTTCGTGCGATGACTTTGTCACGATTTGATACAAATATCACGAGCGTTTACATAGGAAATAAAGGTTAATATTGTAAGCCCTTTCTGGTTACCAGGGCACGACATATACACGTGAAAACGGGATTATAGGAGTCAAATTCACCTGGGTCGTTCGTTAACATACCCTGCTGTCGTTACCCCCACCCCCACACACACACATGCTCACACCGCCATCACCCCACCACAGCACTGCCACTGCCAGTGTTATTGCAGTGGACCTATGGGGTTAACCCCATACGACAGTACGTGTGTTTAAATAGCAATTCTTCTATTTACGCTACCAGCTGGGCTGTCTGCGCGTGAGTGCGCGTGAGAACGTGCGTGCGTGCGTGCGCGTAAGAACGTGCGCGTAAGAACGTGCGTGCGCGTAAGAACGTGCGTGCGTGCGCGCGTGGTGTGCGTGCGTGACGTGCATGACGTGCGTGCGTACGTGCGTGCGTGCGTGCGTGCGGGTGCGTGTGTCCATTATTGCTCTTACTCCTCTTTGCAGGATACTTGACGGACGATGCATTAAGCTTATACAGCGTCATACATTTTGACATATAGTTTACGTGTGTACTATATGTAAAACCACGGACTATTGTTCGTTGAACCCAGTTATCCGCACTCAGTATAGCGTGGTTTTCTTCGATCAATGTTATAACCCATCAGTTTTTTGTTAATCTGACAAGTGACCACTATTAAATCACTACCGGTTCATTACGCTGTTAGGTTAGAGGATGTGACGCGTCATCGGCCGACTAATCAGAAGGCCGGCAGCTCGTGCATTAAAGCTGACGCGATGTTTTGTGGTTGTATTATTTAGGCTGGCTATCGTGTGTGGCAATGACATGCACATGGAGATGGGTGGATGGTTACTGGTAATTTAAAACAAATTCTTTTAATGTATGGCCCGTATTCGACTGCGCGACAGTTTTTCAGGGACAAATGTGGTGTCGGTTAGTAAATTCGCGACATTTTTTTAATTGAACAACTCAATAGTCATAATTCTAACACATATAACTGTTTTAATTCGAGAAATACTTGATTCCGCCCTTGATCAATATTATAACAAATCAGTTTCTTTGCTAGTTCTGCATAATCAGCATATATTATTGAACAACTCAATAGTCGTAATTCTAACACATATAACTGTTTTAATTCGAGAAACACTTGATTCCGCCTTCGATCAATATTATAACAAATCAGTTTCTGCTAATCTTGCAAATTCAACATATAATGTTGAACAACTCAATAGTCGTAATTCTAACACATATTTCAATATATGGATTGGTTATAAAACTATCTCTGTATTGCGCATATCTCATAAGGGGTCGAGCCATAGTAATACCCGCGAGATATGTGCTCCGTGGTTGTAGCGCGGGTCCTTTCGGAAACGTAAGTTCGAATTTTTGTTAGAATGACGTTAGGAACAAGAATAGTTCCATTCTAACCTAGTGATTCGCCGATGCAGTTTCTGCGACCCAACGAAAATGGCATGAACGAGTCCGGTTTCACGATGACTTTACGCTACCATCAAGAAATCTGTCCGCGATTAAGCTCATCGGGGTTCTTCCATAGTCTTCATCAATCTGCATAGTGTACGCATTGACTAACAGAGACGCGCTGCGGAATGTTGTGTCCTCCAAGTTCAATACCTTTGGTGACCGTGCGGAGAAGTAAGACATGCCAATATTCCCAATCTCTCTGCAGCTCCATACAGGTAGCTCTGCTGTAGGGCATCTTCAGACGATCTCGTAAGTTGGCAGCCTTGTCCCGATTACCTCATCAATCTCTGTACGCCACTTTGCTCTGAACATCGTATACATAGCGTGCAGAGTGCGAACCAGTCAAAGGTGGTGCTGAAGGTCTCGATGCCAGCGATGAGAAGATCAAACATGGTTTTTTGCGAACTGGCCCCTCAGTAAATGTACTGTCTTCACCTAGCACTTGAACTGGTTCTTTTGTTCTCTGATATAGTCATCGACGACATCCGAATGCAGTTTGCATCATAGGTGGAACGATGTTCAGCTATTTACTGCACTACACCAGTTATAACAGG